TATATATATATATTTTAATTTTCGCAAGATTTATAAAACTAATTAACTTAAATGATTTGACAAACTCACGAAGCTCGATAATTAATTTATACCAACGTGGGTCAAAAATTGGGTGTCAACAACAACTTATACACAAAAATTTTATAATTATATTTAAAATATGTAATTTGTAAAAAAAAAATTATTTATTTCTAATAGATTGATGAACTTAGACTAGAACTCCTTTATTGAAAAAAATCATGAATTCAAACTCATTTAATGAAAAAAAAATTATTGAAAAATCTTTGTTCTTTCGTGCAAGTTTTGTACATATAAGTGTTTATGGTGAAAACGGATACGGCGAATATATAGGACCGGCGGCTTCAAACTTTATACTGGAATATCTAGTAGCAATTAGATTTTAAAATCGTATTTAAATTGTATTAGACAAGTCTTGTGTTATGAGTTTAAACGTGAAAATATACATGAAAATTTTGAAAATAAATTATTCATTTAAAAGATCACCTACTCAATCAAGTTGGCTAGTGTATTTCAAACGATTTTGAATGATTTTTTTGATTTTTAAAAATTAGACTCAGTATTCACATACACATTTCACACTGACCTAATCGCTTTGACGATATGCATATCTTACAACCATATATATTATATAAATTGAATTTTTTTGGTTTCTACAATTGTCCATTGTTGACCTTTAGTTTTATTTTGTCCACAACTTCTTTTTTTTTTTAAAAAAAAATGCATAGATTTGCTTGATATAAATACACCATAAGTCTAAGACAAAACATACATCCTAGCTCCAAGCAGTTCAGAAAATAAAAGCGAACAATCAAGCATGGCTAGTAGCAAAGTTGGTGTCCTCACTCTCTTTTTTCTATGTGGTATGTCATTTACCTATTAACATTGATCTACCTTTATTTTCATTCAATAAAATTGTTATTTCATGTATCTTTGCCTTCAAATTTAACATTATGTTAATAGGCAAACACACATGAAGTATACCAATTTCTACCTGAATTATTATCAATTATATTTATCAAAACACACATACATAAACTATCATTTGTTCATTTTTTTCTACCTAAAATATCATCATCGTTCAGGTAGCTAAGAAAAGTGAATAACTTATAATTGAAGTGTGTTATAACAATAGTTAATGATAGTTCAAGTAGGAAAAGTAAACCACTAGTATTCAAAACTCACAAAAAATGATACTTCATATGTGTTTTTGACCAGTATTTATAATCATTTTAAATAATTTTTTAAAAAAAATTTGTTGTTGTTGGAACAGTTTTTGTAGTGGGAAGCAATTATGTGGAAGCTCAGATTTGTCCACAATTTTGTGAGCCAAATGTGGATTACATGACTTGTTCCTCTTCAGGAAGCACAATACTTCGTCCAACATGTATCAATTGTTGTCAAGCAACAGGAAGGGGATGCCAACTTTTCCGTAGAGATGGCTCTACAATATGTAACTAGTAAATCATCTTTGAGATTTATCAAAGGGGATATATATTACTAAATTTCCAATAAATTATGATATATATATATATATGAAAAATAAATTCTGAGTCTATACTTTACTCAGATGACCTATATTATATTACATATAATAATGGATTTTTAATGTTTGTATGCGCATTTGTTTTTGAGTTATCTAAGTGTGTGTAAAAATCCAAAAGTAAAAAATAATTTTTGATGAAGAGTAAGAGCTATCAAAAAGGGCCGGCTCAGCCCCATCCGATCCCAAGTCTTGATGGTTAATGAATTTGAAGGGTTAGGACGGGCATGTTCTTCATTCGGTAGGGCCTAAAAATGCTCAACTCAGTCCAACCTTAGAAGGGCTATGGGCTGGGGTGAACTGACATTTTTTTTCTCTATAAACTCATAATTCTTTAACATCAAGAAAATAAAAAGATTTTCAAATCAAATATGAAAAATAATGGTGTCGTTTCAATAAGACTAACAAAAAATTATTGTGTAATTAGCATTTATCTCGCATACCAAATACGTAAGTGAAATAAGAGAGTGATAAGCAAGATGGGAGAAAGGTGAGGGCGCGAGATTTGTCTATGTATGATAGATACATGCAAATCTACTTGGATAAAATGTATCCAAAATAAATTAACTTAATTTTGAGATACATGTATCTAGATGTACCGAAATTCGGTATGGAATTTATAACATTACAACATAGCTTGTATTTAAGTAATCATATTATATGCTAGTGAGATTATTGTAAGTTACCATTAAATAAAAAGTTTTGACCCATGGGCCGACCTCAGCCTAGCCTCGATCAAGCTTCAAGGACTAAAGATTTATGTGGATCGAGTTTATAAGCCCTAATTTTAAATGGGGTTGAAAAATCTTATCCCAATCCTACTTCAATAACGAAATGGATTGAATCAGTCCTATCGGATAAGCTCATTTTGACGGCTCTAATAAAGAGTAAGCTTAAGCTAATGAATATCACCTTGTTTTGCCATTTATGGAGAATCTTTTAATTTGTGAAAAAAAAATCATTTTACAGTATTTGATATCAATTAATTTTATCTACTTCAATCATTTCATTTTATGTGTAGAAATGAATTTTATAAAAAGTATTAAAGATTTTCACTTATTAACTCAGAAAATAACGACAATTAACAAAAATTGTAAAATGACAATTAAAAAGAAATAAAAAAAATTAATATATGTAATCTCATGAATGATTTGAAAATTAGATAAATTGACTCTTAATATAATTTAATTTAAATTTGGAACTAGTCAAATAGACTCAAAAAATCTGCAGCATGACAACTTTAAAAGAACGTATACATAATAAATATCTTATAAGGTTTGAAAACTAGTCAAATTGTAACGTAACGAAAAGATAATTAAAAAATTGATATAATCTCTTGAATTATTTAAAAACTAGTTAGATTAACTCTTAAAATTTTTATTTTAAAATATTAAATTAATATAATCTCAATGTACTACTTGATCTTTGGCATTTAATTCTTTTTACTATAGATACTCCCAGAAATAGCATACTCAAAGCAGATTAAAAAAAAAGAATTCAATAAACATAATTAATAGCAAAGTCGGTGTACTCACTCTCTTCCTCCTGTGTGGTACGCCTTCTCTTTTTCTTTTTATTAAGAATTTAAATATATATTTTAAAATCAAATTATTAATACTAAATATAGAAATATATCATTCTATTAAAAATTGTTTTAAAAAAATAAAATTTTACACAGAAAGATAGTGTTATTTTATCATTCTATGCCAATAATTACTAATATTATGTTTGTGTTTGCAATAGTTTTGATGGTGGAAATAAATGAAGTGCGAGTGTACAATGGAATGTTCAATTTGGGTGATGTACATGGCTTGCCCATCACCAAAGGGATGCGGACTTTATGGTGATTTTAAATTATTATGTAAACCTTTTTTGACAATTGTCAAAAGGGATAGTAATTACTTTTGTTTTTTTTTAAAAAATAATCAATTATATTTCATTGACTTTTTATAGTATATTTAATACATATGTAACAAAACTTGGACATTATATATAGGACAGTACAATTCTAATGAGAATGGTATAGTCACACATACATATCTAAGCACCCAAGCGCACTTAGAAAGAGCATTTCGGCTTCAGGGATCGAGTTCTGAACATGAAAAAGTTTGTAGTGAGGAGTGTTATTTTTTAATGTGTTTTACCTAACGGCTAGTAGAAATTAGATTAGTCAGACTTTAATTTGAATATTGAATACTGAATGAGAACATTGAGAAATAACTATAACTAGTTAATAATAAATTTAATGATTTAGAAAATCCGTTGAGAAATGACTATAGCTAGTTAATAGTAAGAATATCTTATAAGTGAACAAGTAAAAGTGAGAAGTAAAAATTAAGTCAAATATAAAGACAATTTGAAAAAAAACATTATTTTATCAATTTTTGCCAATCATATAAAGAGTTTATGAGCGCAAGTATTGAACACTAACTAGGTGTTGGACATGAACTTTTGAAATCATAATTTAAAATTAATATTAATCTCTTTTTGGTCAAAGTAGAAAGGTCCATTGAAATTCATAAAATATAAGTAACTTTACTTTTTCTTTTTCTTCATAATATTGACTTACTGATATTGTTGCTTTTTATTCGTACATTAATTGCCTTATAGCTTGATGTAGCCATTTGTGTTGTTTGATTATTTTTTATGTTCTTTCATTGTGGAGATTACAGAGTCTATGAGATGTACGTCCAACAACAGGTTGATGTATGTATGTATTATGTGGGTGTATTGGATCTAGGTTTGCATGGATTTGTTTTTTGTGCTACGTCATATCAAGCCTTAACGTGTGTATATTATGTAAATCTAAGTTATGTCTTATAAAATTTGGAAAAGGTATAGATTTTTTTTTAATTTGTATTGAAAAATCAGTTACACGCTTAAACTATTATGATGAGCTATTACAAATCTCTGCTATTTAAAAGTGAATTTATTTACTCCCTAAAACTGACATGAAAAAATAATAATTATTATTATTAAAAAAGGTGCACGTCAGGTCATTAAAAAAGTAAAAGAAAATCAAAATACTTACTACACCCCACCCCTACATCTCTTCTTCTTCACACTCCATCATCTTCATCTTCTTCACACCCCATTAAACTTAAAATAAATCAATAATAAGAAGCAATCAAGAAACAAATTACTTTAAATAGGAGAAAATTTTTGAGAGGTTTCAATTTTTGGAGCTTTGTCGGACATTTTGAGTGAATTGGATGATCGATTGAAATGTGAAGAAAATTATTTTTCGATTATCTTGATTTTTTAAGAAACCTCCACCAGAAAACATGGAAAAAGAACAAAGAAATATATGGCCAAATTTATTATTTACAACTACAAACCGCAACAAACAACAACGGAAGCTCATTTTTTATGACCAATCAATGAAAGAAATTGAAAGAAAAAATTGAAGTAACCTTCTTGTGGGTACATTTTAAAATGGAAGAACTCTTCAACTCTACGGCTAAACTCCAGATTTTGGATAATTTTTTTTGATGGTCATTCCTAAAAGTTTCTTGTTTACCATTTTGCTATGAAGAAGACATAATCATTAGAAAACTACAATAATTAATTAGAAATTAATTAGTGTAAACTATAGTTCATAAATTAAAAAATAATTAATAAAGAAAAGAAAGTAAAAAAGATTTTAAAAATGCAATTTCTGACGTGGTGCTAATGTGGCAGCGAGTGTAATACACTGCATATTCTGAGAGTAGTGTTGCACATATCAGTGTGGTATTAAATTCACTTTGAAGTAGTTAGGGTGTGTAATAGATCGTTATGATAGTTAAAGTGTGTAACTGACTTTTCAGTATAAGTTTAGGGAGAAATTTATGCATTTTCCCTATAAAATTTTTTACTTTCCTCTCTCATTATGATGTATAAGATATCATGTGCACCTCATCTTCAAAAGCTTGTCATCCTAAAAGTCTGTCAATTCTGCTTGATTTGTCCTGATCAACCTAGCCTACATCATGAGCGTCACATACACCTCCTTAGGAACTCAGCATACTCATTAAGGTTCGCCTCAATATCATAGTAATGGAGTACAAGCTTTGCTCTAAGCCTAGACCCGCACGAATTTGTCTTCTAGGCTAGTCCATATTGAACCCCAAAAACACATATACCTTCCAAACTTTGAGATATGATTTACATAGCTCTTCACTTTTTTCTCCCATTTTTCTTAGCCTAGAAGTCTACATCAATCCTACTTGACATGCCCTCATCCACGCCCCGTCCTATGTCACAAACATTACATGATACACCAAACAAAATAGTATTGCAGTTCGTGTAAGCCAAGGGTCTCAAAGTTTATTGACCCCTTTCTTACTAGTTATTGCTGAGAGGTGAACACCATCTTGGATTAAGTGAAGACAAGCTAAGTTATATAAAGATTAATGATGAAACACACTAAGAAATCAACTAGTAACATGAATTCATTATATATGAATTTTAATAAGGAAAAGAGAACCAAGATACATTACAAAAGCAACATTAGTGCTTTTAATTGATTTTATTCATACATTATTATTAGCTTTAAATTTAAAGATGTCTTCTCTTTCCCAACAAAAATACTAAGTAATATAAGTTGTTTATGCTTAATATTCCCTTGTCGATATTTTAGAAAGAGGAACCATCAAGGCATATCCATTCACCAACGAACATTTTTTCACAATTGAGATTGGGATTGAAAGTTGTAAAGTCCTTAGCAGACACACTAAATTGTTGCATAATGCTGAAGCATGTATCTCCAATATTTGCACCATAAA